ATTTTTAATTAATTTTTCGAATGATCGTACTTCAAAGAATCTTCCAAAAATGTTTTCAATCCTCCGACCATAATCGTGAAAAGCGACAAGACAAATTCATCCAAACGGAAATTGAGATTTATCACTCACATTCATGTGCATTTGCTTTGTAAGAAAATTTTTTTTTTTTAATTTTTAATAAAATTTTCTAACTTTAAAGAAATGTGCAACAACAACTCAAGAAATCACAAACTTAATCGTAAGTAATATTTGCAAAGCTCCGCTTCCAGAATCCATCAGCCGAAATGCAGAATGCAATTATTGCACCGCGATGTGTTGTGGTGGCCACAAATTTGCAAATTTGCAAAAAGATAATTTAGTGTTTGCTCGGCGTGTTGGTGCAATTGCATTTACGGCCAATTGAGGAGTTGCAGCAATTGTTGCTGTTGCTACGGCTTTGTTGCAGTTGCTGCTAATAATATTGCTTGTTGCTATTATTGGGTTTTGTGTACATAAGGAAAATTGGAAGCACAGAAACACAAATTTTAAATGTTGCCCATAATTCATTCCAGATTAAGTGGGTGGCTCGAAACATATTAAATGCCTCGAAATACAATAAAAATGTGTTGTTTCTAATTAATGCCAAAAGCAATTTTCTGGCATTTATATTTTCCAACATGCAAATAGACAACGCAAAATGCATAAAAGTGAATGTACAATTAATTAATAAAAATCAAATTTTTAGGGTTGGTAAATATCAGTATTAAAAACTTAATTTAACGTATTTAAAGTGAATTAAATTGTAATTTTTTCCCAATCAACCTAAAGCGATTTTTTGATTCCTAAAAGTGAAAAATTATTTCATAATAAAATTACTCAAATTAAAATTAAGTTATTAATCTTAATAATATATTACGACTTTTTTAAAAAATTTAAATCTTTTTGGAATGCTTCAGTCAAAGCCTTTTATTGCATTACATTTATTATTTTAAAATATATTCAACACATTACCGTTCAACTATAAACATGTACCAACTATCTTATCTTAAAATAATTAAGATGTTCAATTAGGAACATTGTTAATTATATTAAGCTATTTATTTAGTGAATAGTGAATTAGTGTTTATTTAGTATGTATCTAAATAATATGCGGTGCAATAAAATACCATGAAAAAATATATATAAACCAAAGATAGGAACTACATAAATCAATACCTTACAACTCCCCACCTTGTATGATATCATTTAATACAATTACATTACATTTAGTACTTAATATTACATTTAATACATTATTTTTCATGTATGAACATGTACCAACTATCTTATCTTGAAATAATTAAGATGTTCAATCAATAAAATGTTTAAAATGTTTACAAAGAGCGATGCCAATAGCATCTCAGAAAATATTATCGAAATACGAAAATAGAATAATTTATGGTTTAAAGGTGCTAAAGATGCGAACCGGTAGTAGTCTGCGGTCTTACACTTGAGAAACCCTGCAGTAAGGAATACAAACACTGCAAAATGAAATCAAAGGAAATAATAACAGATCATTTAGTCCAATATTGTTTTAGCTGTATATTGTATTAGCTTTCGTAACAATATGACAATTTGTTTATATATGCAAAAAGGAAACACTACTGTGGCTTTGATATCAGCTGAATATAATCAAAACTCAGTTTGTGTTCAGTTAAACATTATAATAATATATACAAAACTTAAAGTATAAATTTAAAATATCATTTTAATGGCACCCGGATGCCAAATTTGTTAGAATGGGCTGAATGTAGGAAAATAAATAAAATTCGATTATTTCTAAAGACCACTGATGATGAGTACTTGGCAATACTCGAAACAGCGTTCAGCCAAATTTCAATAAAAATTAAAATAAATTTTTGGGTTTGTCCTTTATTTCTTTCTTTGCGATTCGAAAACCCATAAGTTGTTTTGTGTAAAATATTTCCTAATTTATATGAGATTTGTAAATTTTTTAATTACTTTTCAAAAAGTTAAGAGAGAATGCTTCTGAAAGAAATATAATATAATTTGACATGAAATTATTAACACGTTCTATTGACTTCCTGTTGAGTTTGTTGCTTAAGTCTTTTGAGTTAATTTAAGTTCTCGATATTCTATAGCTAACTATTATATATAAGAAAATAATCTGAAAAAATGTAATAAATAACATATTTTGGTGAAATTTAAATTAATAAAAAAATAAATAAAATTACACCACGTTCACTATTCACATTATTAATATTGTTTTCTCTGTGTATATTAAAGACTGCATATAAAGACCAAGTCAATCATAAAAAAATGGTTCCATTTTAATTTAATATCTTTCACCCTATTAAATTGAAAATATCGGCATTTCTCACGCTCTTCATTAGCCATATGTATAGCACAAGTGCATGTAAATTGTTTACGGGTATCCAATAAAAATGGATTGTTATACGACGCCATGGTTAACTTCAGCGACAGGAGCAGAGTAATAATACACCTCTGTAGCACTAGTAATGACCAAGCCAAACAATCTAACTCATTTATGGTTAAATTGGTGCATTGTGATCTCAATGCAAAAGAAACATAAGCGGATTTCGTTGACTGTGCTTTTAAGCGGCTTTCTGCAACAGCTTACATGGAATCCTCCAGGCTACAAAGACTCAATTTTCCACTTTTGCCTAACATTTACTTTTTTTTTGTCATCAATAATGTGTGGAAAAACAATTTCTAAATTGATTCAAAAACAGCTTTGGTAACGAGGAACCCGAAGCTTAAATACTTAAAAATTATTGAAAACAATTTTAATTTATTAAATCGCCGTGAAAACGTTTTATTGTTAAATTATTAAAATACCTTTAAACTAAATTAAAATGCAGTTAGTGGATCGCATCGGTGTTGTAATTTTTCCAAACCAAATTAAGGAATTTTGAACCGAAAAAATTTGAGTTTATAAAAGGAATTATAAAAAATTAAACTAAAAACTAAAAATGTTATTAATAAAATGTTTTAATTACATAAAATTTTTGTAGTCAACTAAAAAAGAAAATATTTTTTTTAATTAATTAATTTTACCATACAAGTATAAGCTGTTTCAAGTATTCAAGTCAAATAATCATCATAAATAGTTTGTCGAAATATTCATTGATTTTATAAGTCCGTATATAGTTGTGAAACTATAACTGCCAGACTAAGAAGTTCTAATCTGTCAAATTAGAAGCAATAAATTCACATTAGAAGCAATTCACCAAACGAGCCAAAGCTCCACGAAAGTTTTCGTTGTTCAAATTTCAAGTTATTTGTTCCTTTTTTCCGATTTCTCCGAAAAAGCAAATTATCGAGCTGTTTAGTTAGAACGCGCTTATAAGCCACAGTATATAAAAATTGCAACCAACATTTAGAATTTCTTCATTCAAAAATAATTTCAAAAAAGAAGTATTCTATAGTGCTTTCGTAAAATTAAGATTTAAACTTTTATTAAAAATACTTTTTTTTATATTGAAGCTTTTCGAGCCAGTGCACTTGAGCACTTTTACTCTTTATTAACTCGAGGTATCTTCAAAACCCCTCTTAAGGCATTGACTAGATTAATGTTTATCACTTCATCACACTAAACAATAATTGACCTTAATTATTAATTACTATCCTTAATTATTATCCTTATGCCATTTGTACTTTACTACAAATTTACCTACAATAATCCCCTTATTACAACATTAGTGGAATATCAGAGAAAGAACTATTATTATACATATATTATTATGAGGAAAATTTGCCTTTCAGATCTATTGTGCAATTCCTGCTAAAAGAATCTTAAGCTAACTTAGATGATTTAAACTATATTACTATATATACTTTATTATATACTATATTAAACTATGACTCAATATATCTGGGTTTAAAATACCTGTCGTCACTCAGTGCAATGAAAGTATTACTGAATGTACTACACAGAGTTTACATAATCCAAATTTATGCATATCCAAATACATAAAAACCAAATTTTCATTCCATCTTTTGAAGATGGTAGTCAACAGAACCATCTGCAGATAAGAAATCAATAATAAATCTATGTTCAGAACTGTTTGACCTGTCAATATTTTTATTAAACAATTGTTAATCAACTTTCCCAAGCGGTTTTGTAGGTCTATGGTATATTTCTGCATACATATATATATATTATGTTCTTCATATTATCTTTTTTACTGCGCAGACTTTAAGCTCTCCATGTAACTGTGTATTAGTAACATACCAAAGCACGTTAACAATAATTCTTAGAAGTTTTGACTGGAAGCGTTGTAATATTACCAATATCACATTGTAGCAGTTCCACAAAGAAATTACAGATCGGTTTTAATACCTCTTTATTCTATTCTTGAGTTTCACCCTATCTATGAACATATACATACTACTTAATTTAATGTTCAATGCTTTGCATTTTGTGAACATGTGGTGGTGCCATGTTAATCTTGTGTCAAGATGCTTACCAATGTTGACTGAAGTATCGAAACATTATTTAAACGAACTGGAGGGCAAGAGTATTCCAGAAATTTTACCAGAACTAGTTCGTAATTTGCTTAATATCAGTTCAAGTTCAGTATCTTTCAACAAAGGATGAACACTATAAGCTGAATCTGATAACATTATAACTTTATAAAAATATCGCACTAAAATATATTTTTTTTCGGTAATCTCTATCATTTGTACTCCATCTCTCTATAATTTAAACAGCTACCCCCTAAAATTATGTACCACTTTTTATTCATATAGTTTTACAACTAAAAAATCTGTTGGTCTATAAAAACAGATGTCTGTTTTATCCACATTATTATAACAAAATGGAACAAATGGAAATTACTACATCAATTCGTCTCATAAAACATAAACACTTTATGGAGTTTCTTATAGAACTTTATTTCAGGAAACCAAAAGTAATAAATATTTTCTTTGAACAGTATATATTCTAATGATATTGTATATATTCATTTTTTGATATACAAGTTTAGAACTATGTTAACACTTAATCATACTTAGGTTGTTTTATCAATTAAAGGTTAAATAGCAACTGCAGTCTATAATTTATATTACAACTAGATAACTAATTGTAGATAAAAATTGAATTTCAGTTTATGCGAACAATAAGTACGAAAGAAAAATATTATAAAATGAAGATCGTCATTTCACAGAGTTATCAATACAATATTGATTAGTTCACTTAAAATATTAGTTTTAAGTTGCGCTTTAATTATTCTTGAAATATATTAATTCTTATTTTAGAATGTAAATCACCTAGCTATTACTGCATATTTAACTCTTGCTATATGCAGATACTGCGAAACGATTTCTTAGTGCTAATGTTAAATTATTTTTGTGCATTTCCACTCCTATTACACAATTCTACATAATCCGTAATTTGTTTCACTTGCTGTTTATATATTCGTAACCACATGCCTTCTGCAGTTTCATTTTGAGAATGCTGTCCCTCTAAGAAATCGCTTTCCTCTGAATCTGCAACGGTTTCTTCTTCTTCTGACAAATCCATTGTACCATCTTTCTCATCTGACTCAGTTGCGAGCGTACGACTTGTATCACTATTGTAAATTGATTCTTTTGAAGAACTTAGATCAGATGAAGAAGTCAAAGAGGTTGCACGAGAACCGCTGCTTGCGCTAGTTTCAAATACGCTTTCCGGAAAGCAGGAACTTGTAGATGGAATTGTAGATTCAGTTGGATTTGGTGCATAGACAAACTATAATCAATTTGACAAGAAATTTGTTTTAATTATATAATAAAAATAATATATTGCTTTCATATAAAACTTGACAAAAAGTATTTTACGTTTTATCGTTTGTTTGGTTTTAAAATAACTTCAAAATAGCTAAGAAGAGCTCATTACTGATGAATACTGGTGAATATTTAGAAGATTTAAATTTTATACATTATAAAATTACTGTATTATTTTTGTAATATTAACATCGGATAAGCTGGCTCATATCCCTTTTTTCTTCAGTAACCAAAGTTACTTAGTTTTTGATGTTTAAGCCAATGAAATCTCAAGTAATGAAGAGTAATATACAGGCGCGGGATTTCGATTTGAGTTGCCTATGTACAAAATCATAGATGCCAATATAAGTGGAAATTAATGGAAGTTTAAGCATATTGTTTCATAGAACAGTATTCCACATCACACCACTTAAACCCACATACAACTTAATTTCCTGACCTATATGATAATATTGTACTACAAAACGAACGCACATTAAAGTACTAACATACTTAATATTTTATCTTTTCTTATTTTTTTAAAAGAATTCAGCAGTCTCATTGAGTAGCCCTTGTTGACATGGAACAGCCGATTAGGGAAACATGCTAGAAGATTGAATCCACCGTTTAATCATTTCTGTCGAATTTATGGAGAGGACGATGAAAGTGCCCCACATCTGTTTTGTTACTGCCCAACGAATGTGCAGTGCTGATTAACTATATTGAGGACTTCATTTTTTGAGGATCTTGACCAGCTTCAGGACTTCCCTCTAAAAAGCATTTTAAACTTTGCCAGAGGTTCAAGGTGATTTTTAAGCTTCTGGGTTCTTATGTAGTAGCCCAATAGGCCTAAGTGGTCCTTAAGGTCACTGTTATAACCTAACCTTACATAAGCTATAGTAACTTTTAATTTCTAAACTATAGTCTATAGTCTGTTTTGCTTTCCGCTGACAATACTTACTTGTGAACTTGATGGATTGAATAATGGTGGTTGAGTTTGCCACCTGGAAAGTATTGGTTCAATATTAACTGGTGAAGGGAAATGTTTTGTGAGTGGCTTCTTATCAACAATAGGCTCTGATATGGGAATATTGTCAAGAATATTCTGTGCGGTATCACTGTTGCTTTGACTATTAGAGTTATTATCCATATTTGTCGCATGAATGTCTTCTGACCTTAAGTTACAAAAGTCAGTAAAAAAATCATTACGAAATATAGCAGGAGTAACCGGATCGATTGTAACATCGTTTTTATCAGTCTGAAATAATTTACATATTTAAAAAGAATGTGCATCAACATATATTGTTATTTATTGGAACATTTAGTAAAATATTACTTAAAAACAATGGTTAATTTTAAAGAGTTGATATGTGAGATGCACCGTACAAATTACAATATCAAGTATGATCTAATATGATACATAATATAATTATATAAAAAATTGAATATCTATCTATTCTATTATAATGTATATGGTACTTACCATATTTGGTAACATTTTTTCTAATTTATTATTAAACATTCTTTCTTCATCTTCCTTGTCATAAACCTTTACTGCAGCAGTGTTCCTATTTAAGTTTTCTTCATATAAATCGCAGATATTTACTAAAGGTGCGTTATTGTTTTTTTCATGTAACAGTGTCTTAATAATATTCTCTTGATTTAAGTTCAGTTTTTGCATTAATGATCCATCTTCTAAAAGTGTCGCAAAACAATCAGAGTAGTTTTTTTGTAAATCAAGAGTATTTTGCTTTGATTTGATATGATCTTCAATGATAGCGTTGTCTTTTTTACAACCATTCATATTTTTTGATGAATCGTCACTTTTTTCTATATGCACATCAGAGATATTTAATATGGATTTATTATTCCTTTTTTCAGAACTTTTTGCTGCACTGATATTTTTTTCATGTATATGTTTGTATATCTTATCTTCTACATTTTTTTTTAACTTATTAGAAGTGCTTTCGTCCTGAAGTTTCTCGTTTTCGTTTTTATTTTCTTTGTGATTCAGAATAAATTGAGCATAATCATCAAAAATATTAAATGATTTTGGCCGTGAATTGATAAAATTGTTAATGTTATCAGATTTCGATACAAGTAAATCAAGAAGAATAGCTTTGCTAGATTCTTTAATGTAGATATCATCCCCTAGTAAATCTGTTTCTAGACTACGTATACTACTATCAGGAGCTATACTACTTGCATCGTCAATAGTGTTTGACGATAAAAACCGTGTTGAAGAACTCAAATAAGACTCCTCAGTTGGATTACCTTTTTGTTCACCGACTAATTTTTCCATAACATTACATGCACTATCCTGTGTGTTTACTAAGAATGTTTTTGTATTAATTGAACAGTTAGTACTATCCGTGTTTTTAATTATTTCATCCACTTCAGTGTTTTCGCTCCTATAATGAACCAATTGATCACAATCTTTAGTTTGCTTTATTTGATCCAATGATTGTATGCTTGACGTTATACTACGATCTTCAGAAGCCAGTGGAGCTAATATTTTTTTATTGTACAATCCAAGGCGACTGATTTCTTCTGAAAGATTTGAAAAATTCCAAAAATCGTAAAGATCACTTTCTTTCAAAGTATTTGGAAAATTCAAAACATTCACATTTAAAATACCAGCTCCAATCTCATCTATAATCTTTTTATAATGAATTTCTTCCTTTTCCGTTGCAATTAAAGTTATAGAAATTCCATGTGAACCAAATCGACCGGCACGACCAATGCGGTGCAAATATGTTACAGCATCTTTTGGTTGGTCAACATTAATCACTAAATTTACGTTAAGTGCATCAATACCACGTGCCATTAGGTCTGTTGTTACTAAAATTCGAATTTTCTCTTCACGAAACTTTTTAAACGTTTCAGCTCGTTCTATCTGAGATTGTGCGCCACTTATTATTTCGCAACCCCAGCCGTCACGTTGCAAATAACCACAATATGAACTCGCACGTAGCTGAGTACCAGCAAATAATAGACACTGTTTAAATGGTATAACGGCAAAGATGTAATTTATAGCCTTAAGTTTTTCATTCATCTCTTTTAAACTGACTTTTTGCTCTGGAATCGTATAAGCATATTGTTTTATACCAATTAATACACAAGACTTCTCCTGTGTAGACACATAATAAGGATTATGCATTAGTTTACTCAATTTTATATACAAATCATTCGGAAATGTGGCACTACAGACTACGATTTGTCGGATCGGTAATTGCTTTAATATAATATCAACGTCCTTACGAAATCCTTCGTCATACATTTGATCCGCTTCATCAATCACCAATAATTTAATTTTTGAAGTATTGACCATTTTACTACGAAGCAAGTGTAGGAATTTACCGGGCGTAACGACGATTGATTTCGCTAATTGAATTCTTTTACGATCCTCTTGAATGTTTGTGCCTCCTATAACTGTGGTCGCATTAAATCCGCGGAAACATTTTCCAACTTTATTTAGTACATCAGTAATTTGAGTAGCAATTTCTCGTGTTGGAGTAATTACTATTGATTGTATTTGTTTTAAATTGTAATCGTAAGATTCCAATATAATAGTTGTGAAAATAATTGTTTTACCAGTACCAGACTTTGACTGAACAAGTAAATCTGTAAATAAAAAAAATTCAGATTATATATACATAACTTTGTTATAAATAATTATTATTACTAACCAAAACCAGAACACCCAACAGGAATTGCTGAAGCCTGAATTAATGTTGGATACTCAAAGCCGGCTTGACATAGACCTTGTTTGGTAGCAAAACCGATAGACATTTTATGAAAGGGCACATCCATTAAACATACATCACTAGTACGCTCCTCACTTAGCTTATGTGCTAAATCACTAGGACCTTCCATTTTATACTTAAAAGATATAAAACTACTAATCAGTCCGTTATTTCGCACTACGGTTTCTAAAACAAATATGAAAGAAGTTTGACAGAAATTAGGGTGACCAATATCGAAAATTTTAACTTTCAAAATTGTATATATTTTCAGAGTTGCTAAGCAGAAACAATAATTAGTAACAATTGATATACATCAGAAAAGAAAATCTAATCAACTAACACATGAAAAGATAACAAATCGGTGAACTAGACATTATAGATATTCAATTAAATAATTTATCGAAATTTTGTATGTGATTGGCTGAAAAATCAAAAGTATAAAAAAGCACGAATTTATTCGAAACGATTAAATGTTCGTTTTGCAGGCAAAGCTTAAACTTTTTGAGGTCATTTCATGTCATATATGAATCTGTTCTTTCTCTAGCAAGTTTTTTTAATTAATTTTTATTTTAATTTTGTAGTATATTCGATCATGGCAACCCTGTATAAAGAAATAGATAAAAAAAGGAAATATACAAAATGCGTTGTGTTTCGTCGTTGTGCTCAAAGGAGTAAGCGTGCCGTGCCGTGATTATTAGAATTATTAATATTAAATTGTAAACCTATATAACTTTAATCAATAAAGTATATTGTATTATATATAAAGAATATAATAAATTTTAATTTTATAATTAATTAAATAATATAATATAATAAATGTTCGTAAAATAATAAATATTTACAACAGATATTTAAAAGCGCTTCATTTAATAATAAAGTGGTAATACAGAAATACCACAAATGCTCTTAAAATCTTCAAAAGGTCTTTTCTTTTGTAAGCATATCACAAAAGAACAACGGCTGGTTTTAAAAATAACATATGAAACAACAACACTGCTATCTTATTTAGTCCAACATTTTTGAAATTGCTTAACTAATAAGCAGCTCAAATCGTATGGTTACTAAAATTAAAAATTCGTCATTTGTGAACGTTTTGGAAACTACATACAAAATTTCAAGTTAACTGAATGAACTCGTTAATTATTCGTTTTTCGTTTCTTCATTGTTTGTAACAAATACCTTATTTTGTTCTATTTATTATTTTACTGTTAAAAGGCATGAAAATTCAAATTTTATTCACAATCGTGTAAAGAAAAAATGGAAACATATATTATTCATTTTCTAATATTATCTTTAAATTTTACTCACAACAAAAAACATATGTCGAAATCAGCATTAAATATATTTTTAAAGTGATGCCAATTTGTATCAACCAGACAATGCTGTTTTATATACAACTGTGAAAGAAAAAATTTCGGCTAATGTTACTATAAAAATAAAACATCAAAATATTCGTCAAAAATTTTAAGTAAAACGTTGAATAAATGTATTTCAATACACTAAATCCTTGTTTCGACACCATCCAACAATTGTTTAAAATGTTGTAATATCTTGTGGCACCTATCAACATAAACTTTAAAAAAATTATTGTATAGTTCTGAAAGAATGCTGTTCTAACCTTCTCAGCTAAAAACGGCACAAAATTAAATAAGGCTAAGATAGCTAAAATAAAAATAATATACATACTAGAAAATATTACTTAATTTTGAAAACTGAATGTTTAGATTAAAATAATTTAATCTGGATTTACTCTTATTTAATTTAGAGGTACGCAAAACGGCGATGTCAACCAAAATGTCACATCTATAAACATTTGTAGGGTAAAAGTCAATTTAATAAAAATCTTTTACATCCTGTATTCGGCGTAGTGGCATTTTGTTTTAGAATTTTGGTCTTACGCAAAATAATTTTATGCAAAAAGTTATTATTTTAGATCATATTTAGTTGATTATTGTGTAAAATTTTTATTAAAAATGTCTGGTACCATCGAAATCCCTTTACGGGACACCGATGAGGTGAGTAAATGTTTTATTTAATTTGTGTTATAAATTAATTTATTATAAAAATTTAAAGGTAATTGAGGTACATCCAGATCAGTTACCGGAAGGTCAAGAAGTTTTAAGCATCTTGAGACAAGAGCGTTCGCAACTAAACACATGGGTCAACGTTGCGGTAAGTCAAATTTGACATTGTAATTTGTTCCAAAATTAATTATGAAAATATTTGTTTTTAGTTGGCTTACTATAAACAAGGCAAAACCAATGATTTCATTGAATTGCTGGAAACTGCACGCGATGAGGCCAATAAAGACTACAGAGAATTTGACAAGGACCAAATGCGCTGCTATGATATGCTTGCAGCGCATTATGTCCAAGAAGCAAATAGGGAAAAGTTGAAGGATAAAAAGCGTGAACTTTTTATGAAAGCTACTAATTTATATACGACAGCAGATAAGATTATAATGTACGACCAAAACCATCTATTAGGGCGTGCATACTTCTGCCTGCTCGAAGGTGATAAAATGGAACAAGCAGATGTACAGTTCAATTTCGTTTTAAATCAGTCGCCATCGAATATACCCTCGCTGCTAGGCAAAGCCTGTATTGCATTTAATAAGAAAGATTATCGAGGTGCTTTAGCATTTTACAAAAAGGCTTTACGTACAAATCCTAATTGTCCCGCAAACGTACGTATGGGAATGGGACATTGCTTTCTTAAAATGAATAATCAAGAAAAAGCAAAACTGGCTTTCCAACGAGCACTTGACTTAGATCCCAATTGTGTAGGAGCACTTATTGGCCTTGCTATACTTAAACTGAATTTGCATGAGCCCGATTCAAACAAAATGGGCGTTCAAATGCTTTCTAAAGCCTATACAATTGACTCTACTAGTCCAATGGTGTTAAACCATTTAGCAAACCATTTTTTTTTCAAAAAGGATTATTCGAAGGTCCAACATTTAGCATTACATGCCTTTCATAATACCGAAAATGAAGCAATGCGTGCTGAAAGCTGTTACCAATTGGCACGCAGTTTCCATGCACAGAACGATTTTGATCAGGCGTTTCAGTACTACTATCAGTCTACACAAATTGCTCCATCTAATTTCGTCTTACCACATTATGGCTTAGGTCAAATGTATATATATCGTGGCGATACAGAAAATGCAGCCCAATGCTTTGAAAAAGTACTTAAAATACAACCAGGAAATTATGAAACAATGAAAATTTTGGGTTCGCTTTATGCAAATTCAAGTTCACAAACCAAACGTGACATGGCAAAAGCCCATTTAAAGAAAGTTACTGAACAGTTTCCGGAAGATGTTGAAGCTTGGATTGAGCTTGCACAAATTTTAGAGCAGAATGATTTACAAGCTTCGTTGGGTGCTTATGGTACAGCCTCTTCTATATTACGCGATAAAGTGAAAGTTGATATTCCAGCCGAAATCCTTAATAATGTTGCTGCTTTACACTATCGACTAGGCAATCAAACAGTTGCCAAAGAAAAATTGCTCGAAGCTCTAGAACGTGCTAAAAAGGATACTCCAAATGATAAACCATATTTTGATTCAATTTCGGTAACCATGACTTATAATCTAGCACGTTTAAATGAGTCTATGTCTTGTTTCGATGTAGCAGACAAATTCTATAAGGATATTTTAAAGGAGCATCCTAATTATATTGATTGTTATTTACGATTAGGCTGTATGGCACGCGACAAAGGTTTAATTTTTGTTGCTTCAGATTTTTTCAAAGATGCACTCAATATAAATAATGACAATCCCGATGCAAGGTAAATATATATAGTATAATGTTTGTTAGATTAATTTATTGAAACTTTTTATAGAACACTACTTGGTAATCTCCATTTAGCTAAAATGCAATTCGCTTTGGGTCAGAAAAATTTTGAAACTATATTGAAGAATTCGGGTACATCAACAGATGCATATTCACTCATTGCGTTGGGTAATTTTTCACTGCAAACACTACATCAATCTATAAAAGACAAAGATAAAGAAAGAAAGCATCAGGAAAAAGCTTTATCCATATATAAGCAAGTTCTACGCAACGATCCTCGTAATATATGGGCAACTAATGGCATTGGTGCAGTGCTTGCCCACAAAGGTTGCATTATTGAAGCAAGAGATATATTTGCACAAGTGCGAGAAGCTACTGCTGAGTTCTCTGACGTTTGGTTAAATATAGCACATATATACGTAGAGCAAAAACAATACATCAGCGCCATTCAAATGTATGAGAATTGTATGAAAAAATTCTACAGACATCACAATATTGATGTAATGCAATATCTAGCACGTGCATATTTGCGAGCAAACAAAATCAAGGATGCAAAACTGGTACTATTGAAAGCAAGAAGAGTTGCGCCCCAAGATAGTGTTCTACTTTTTAACATAGCAGTCGTTTTACAACGTTTGGCCATGGTCATATTGAAAGATGAAAAATCCACGCTGGAAGTTGTGTTACAAGCTGTGCATGAATTGGAATTGGCACAAAAATATTTTCAATATTTATCAATCTATGGTGATAAGAGTCGTTTTAATGTTGATATTGCTGGTTTGGAAGCTAATCAGTGTCAAGATCTATTATCACAAGCACAATATCATGTTTCTAGAGCACGTCGTATTGATGAGGAAGAGAAGACTCTGCGTCGCAAACAGGAAGAGGAACGAATGGCATTTAAATTAAAACAAGAGGAAGAACGCAAAAAGCGTGAAGAGGAACAAAAAATGTCACGCGAACAGCTTTTGGCCAAACGTCAAGAATTTGTGGAGAAAACTAAAAATATTTTAATTATTGCTGAAGCACCCCCTGAGAAGGAAAGAAAGAAAGGTGGCGGTCGACCGCGTAAAGATGACTATGTATCTGATTCTGAAAGTGGAGAAAGAAATGAAGTTGATGGTGCAGAACGTTCACAGAAGAAAAAAGGTGAACGTAAGAAGGGTGCAGGACGTAAACGCAAGAGGATCGCTGATAACGACGAAAGTGATAGCGATGGTGAAGCACCGAAAGAAAAACGTCCAAGTAAAAAGAAGGTCAAAGAAGTCAAGGAAAAATTATCAGCTAAACAACGGCTTAAAATTGTTTCAAAGGAAACGATTTCTACAAGCGAATCGGAAAGCGATGCAGGTGGTCGCAAACGCAACAAAAATAAGGATGATAGCGATAGTGATAGAAGTGGTGATGATACTGGTGTTGTTAAGCGTTCTAGGAAA